TTTTTTTTTTTTTGATACTATAGATTTTATCTTGATTTTGTGTTTATTTAGTTGTTTCAATAGGAATTAGAAAGTGATGGGTCTCAGTTTGCCAGCTTTAAATGCAATCTTCTTCCTCTAAATTATGGAAGAATTTTTTAGTTTGCTCCCTCCCACGTGTCAGTTTTGCAGTAAACTTCCTCAAGTATGGGTTTGTATTATATTTTTGTAATTTTACTTTCCTTACAATCTCTTGTTTTCTTACTGTACTACCTTTTATCTTAGTATTGAGGCTTTACATTGTCCTTTCTTCCTCCTGGGTTTTATTAAAGATGTTTAAGAGTCTTGTGAAAGGATCTTCTGGTTCCTGTAAGAAATAGTTTTCAAAGGTATGGTCTTCTCTGAGTATACAGACTGGTATTCCCTTTAGCTCTTGCTGTAATTTATTTTTCCTTGGTCTCATGTAGGGCGCCATCCTCCATCTTCCATTTTACTTTTCCCAGAGCTAGGAGAAATTTATAAAAACTTGGTATTTTTTAAGTAAGAGGTTTGTATTCACAGCACACATAACAGAGTTGTTAAAAGCTACAACACTCGACATGCAGTATCTTCAGGGACCTTCCTGTATGCTCCCTACTCTTTGATGCTTTACCCTTAAGGAGAAAATACCCTCCACTCTTCCTGTCATAGTGCTCCTCTTCCCTCCCCCCACATTACACACACATCCCCAGGGGTGCTGGTTTCTACCCTTTTTATCATCTGGAAGTTGTCAGTTCCGAATAATTATAGAGAGCTGAGGAAGAAGCAGAGAAATCATATTCTACCTTCTTAAAAAATCCATACCCCAAAGTAAAGGCTTGGCTGAACTTTTTCTGTTTTTATGAAAAACATGGTAGACAGTAGAGATCGTTTTCTTTTTCTTTCATTTAACTTTCTTTGGGGAAACAAGGCTGCTATGTTTCATGAAATGGCATGTGGGTACTCCTTGCTTTTTTAAATCCAGTTCCATCAATTTTATGGTTAGCATAAATTGCCTATAAGGTAGTGACCTCTCTTTCATTCTTAGTCTTCGGGGTTGTGTGGATTTTTTGACATTGTCAGTGTTTTTCGAAATATGTATTTAAAGACTGAAATAACCATGTGTAAGTGTTGCAACTTGGAGACATTTTAATTCCATTTTTTAAAATAATTTGTTCATTGAAGAAACAGATACAGAGGAGTAAGGAGAACCTATGAACAGTGTGTTGAATGCTGACATTCCTAACCTTTTTATAAGGTTGTATGTAGATTGATAGCTTTTTATGAAGCCCCTGGTTATTGTATTTTAGCTGATTTATATTATTGTAGAAGGAACACTATACTGGAGTTCGGCTACATGAAGTCCAGTCTAGGATATGGTACTGTTTAGCTGTGTGCAATGATTCACATTAAGTTTTTTTTTTTTTTTGCTGAGGAAGATTCTCCCTGAGCGAACATCTGTGCCAATCTTCCTCTTTTTGCTTGAGGAAGATTTTCCCTGAGCTAACATCTGTGCCAATCTTCCTCTATTTTGTATGTGGGTCGCTGCCACGGCATGGCTGCCAACGAGTGGTGGAGGTCCATCTCCGGGATCCAAACCTGGGCTGCCAAAGTGGAGCATGCCAAACTCAACCAGTAGGCCATGGGGCCAGCCCTCACATTAATTTTAAAAGTTAAAGAGAGAAAAACTCAAAAGTAAATTGAATCAAGTAACTATGTTATTTTAGACATACCAGTAAACCTCTGCCTCAATTTCTTTATTTACAAAATTAGGGGGAAATCTATATTTATAAATTACTTTGTATGTGTTGAATTTCATGGCATTGTAAAACTAAGTCAATGTTTTAATAATTGAGACTTGGTGTACTATAATGAGTTCACAAAGAAGCTAGTGCTGTATTAAAATTTCTAACCTAATCCAATTTGAATTCTTCTTTCTATATGCATTGATTTTTAACAAACTCCAATTTATAAGTATTGATGCTTTGATTCTATTTTTTGGCAAAGACATTTTCACTTATAGAAAATTTTGCAATCGGCAGCATTGATTAAAAATCGTGTTTCTGGTGAAACATTTTCCTACCACAGGTGACTGACACTGAAAGATCTTTATCAATCCATGTTTTGGTAAGAGTCCCCTAGGTTAGTTACAGTTTTCCAGACTTAAAAGAGAACAGAAGAACCGGAACCTTATGACTGTGAGATATACTCAGAGGAAAAGAAGTTTTGTGAACTCGGAGACTATCCTTTCTTCTACTTGACCTTATGGGTGATGAGTACTCTGGAGAATGACTCACTCCGTGTTCATCTGTGAGGGCATCTGGACCTCTTCCTTTGGTCACTCTAGGACTTCACAGAGAAAGAAAGATATCAAATTCATATCCTTTGACTTTAGGAATAGTATTTCTGTAATTCAGTTCAGTTCAGCATCTTGAACCTAGCCATTTTACATAGAGTATTTCATTTAAATCTCACAATAGTTTCTGAAAAGTAGGTTTTGCTATATTTACCTTATAGAGGAGTAGATTAAGACTGAGGTAGGGTATGCAAATTGCCCTATGTCATGCACTTATAGTAGCAGAGCTAAGATTCCATCTCTATTTTTTGCAACTGTAAAGTTTATGCTTGTAAACATCATGTTATCACGTGTATCAGTTAGGATTCAGTTCTACATGTAACAGCAACCTGACTACAATTGCATTAGCAAATAGGGCTTTATTGATTGCACATAACAAGCAGTGCACTACTGATGCAGCTGCTTAAGAGGAATCCTCAAGACCAAAGTTCCTTCTAACTTCCTTTTCTTCCATTCTTAGTATGTGACTTTTATCCTCATTTTTGCAAGACAGCTGTTCTACCTTCTGGTTTCATGTATGCATTCTAAGTAGGTGCAAATGGATGAGCAAAGGAGGTAAAAGCACCTCTTATCTAAACTTAATCTTTTTTTGTTAATCAGAAAGGTAATAGTTTACCTGGAAGCTTTTCATAATATACTTCCATTTATATCTCATTGACCAAATCTACATTTATGGCTATTCCGAGCTTCAAAGGAGTCTGGGGAGTCATTTTTAAATCAAATTTATTGAGGTATAATTTACATAGAATAAAATTCACGCATTCTATGTATACAGATCTATGACCTTGGACAAATGCATACACCTGTGTAATCCTGCCTCAACCAAGATATAGAATGTTTCCATCTTGAGGAGGCAATGTTAACTGAGCATTTTGCCATCTTGAACAAAATTCAGGTTTGGTTCTGAAAGGAAGAAGGAGGCAAATAATATTAGATAGGCAACAGGCAGCATTGTCACACTAAAGGTTAAATATAGATAAACTTAAATAATGGTTTGGAAAAGCAAAATTGCAAAACAGTAAATCCCCATAGGTGGGAGAAGACTTCAGTTATAGTTAACTTAGCTTAAAAGATGAACTTGGACGAATCTCCAAGATCTGTTTAGGCCTCAATTTTCTAATATTTGAAAAAAAAGATTTTCAAAAGGTCTTGAATATGTCAAAAATTGTGGTTCAGATGAAATGAGATAATTTATGTGAAAGCACATTGAGATTTGTAAAGCTCTATTCAAATATAAAGAATTGTCTTTTTTTCCATGGTTAGAGGTGTTTCCTTTTGAAAATCATGATGAACTTGACTTACTGGCCTGAAATATCACAGTTGTGAAATTAAAATATAATTGTAAAACATACTAACTCTTTAATTTATTAGTGGCCTATAAATCAAGGCAATATGCAGCTCTAGGCAGAGGCATTTTTACATTGATGTTCTTATCAGTTCTCTTGCAAACTATATCTCTTTCAATTGGGTAAAAATAGCACTAAATGTATAATTTCCTGGAACTATCAAACATATGTATATTTAGGGCTAATAAATTCTTGTGTGATTTACCAGTTATATAATATTTTGAAAAATAAATCTTGACAGTCTTCCAATAAACGTAAAATACAAATTTTATTTTGAGAAGTTGCACTTTTTGTAAAACCAAATAATGCTGAACTTTTGGAATATTTAGGAAGACTACTATTTTATTTGTTCTCTCTTTTGAGAAGAAAACATTCTCTTGAAATTCCTCCCTTGGAATCGCTTGCAAAGGTAAAAATCAAGACCTATTGTGAGATTGTGGGGACCCTCTCTGGAACCAGAGCCTTTGATTGCTTGTTATACAGGGTCTAGGAAGAAATGTGATCATTGGTAGTATTTATTACTCTCAGAGTTTTGTCGGAACAATTCTCTGAACTCAAACATCTTGGCAAAATGTGGCTCGCTCTTGTAGACTTTTATTATAACCAATGTCAACTTAATCTTTATTGAAATACTAATCTTTGTTGAAAGATAATGTATCTGGTAATCCAGGATACTCATCTCCTCTGGCCTATTACTATTTTTTCATTTTAAAATTGCTCATTATTTATTATTCTACATTAATGTCTGTTATTTTGTTCATAAAATTCCCAGGTTGGATTCAGCACTGGCTTTGTTGGTCCTTGGGGAGGCTGCCAAATTAAACACGCTCTGCTTGAAAGCTTTAATGGAACTAATGAGAGATTTTCTTTTAAGCATTATGTCTGTTCAGAATCAGGTAAGAGTATCTTTTTAATTTAGGTGTGCAAAAAGACCTGAATAGAAATAAATTTTATTTTTGCCACTATTTAAATTGTATATCATATTTGGGATTATAATGAGCGTAACTTTGTAATAATAATTTTAATTAAGTACAAAAGTTAATGCACATTTATCATATATCCCAGTATAGATAGATAGAGAGATAGAGATAGAGATAGAGATAGAGATAGAGATAGAGATAGAGATAGAGAAATAGATTATACACACACACATACATGAAAGGGACTTTAAATTTTATTAAGAAATGAAATCATATAGCCATATATGGTTTAATTTACTCTTTTAAAAAATTTAAAGTATATCATAAAACCGTTTTGCATTGTCATTAAATATTATTAAAATTTAAATTTTAGTGGGCATGAGATAATTTGACCATTCCTCTATGGTTGAACATTGAGTTTGTTTCTAATTATTCACAGTTAATTACAACTAATGTTGAACTGGTATTCTCATATATACAATTTTTATCTGCATTTGACTATTTCTTTAGAATAAATTCATAAAATTAAATTACTAAGCGATAGACTATGAACTTTCTTTTAACATTCTTAGGACAGAAAATATAACTTTCTTGCTTTCCTATGAAAGTTGTATAAAAGTGCCCCACACAAGAATTGATCTTTATATAAAAAAGATTATTTTACAATATGATATGGAAAACAGTATATCATTGGATTAATTTACATTTCGTTGATTACTGGGGAAACTGAAAAATTGTTGTTCTTTATATACCTTTTAGCTATTTGCAATTTTAATTCTTTAAACTAGTTTTTATACAGTCTACCCATAGAAAAACTGTTTTTCTAATGAGTACATTTTAGAAATATTAATAGATTATGCTCTTTTAACAACTCCATAAAATTTGAAGATATTTTTTATTATCAGTACAGTATATAGTTCTTAATTATGACAGAACATACTTTGATTATCTAATAGCTATTGTCTCATTTTAGGATGAAAGCTACAAGGTAGATGATTTTTCCTGGGCCTGGAATGTAGTCTACATGTACACAATAATTCTTGCAGAAATCTGCTTGTATGCGGCCACTTCCAATTTGCGAAAAACTGCTTTAATTGGTTTCTGTGACTGTAAAAGTTCACAAAAAATTTTTTTAACCATCGACAAATCAAAAGAACAGCCAGAACTAAGGGAAACAAGTATTTTAGGTCTTTTGGAATATTTCTCTTCAAAAATATCAGATAATTGTAAGTGAATTATTTTTCATCTTGACTAAAAATATTTTTAAAATGTTTAAATGTCTGCATATATTATTAAGCCCTTTACATGAAGTTAACATTTCAAAATGGGAAATAATTTTAAATTCAGTAGGATAATGGTAGTAGAACAGTAAATATCTTGTTGATCATGTAGTTCTCATCCAATGCACAAATCTCTTCTAGACCATTTGCAAATAGTGAACAATCATCTTCTGTTCGTAGGGAACTCGATTTCCCAAAACAGGTCATTCCACTCTTGAACACTGTGAAAGATTCTTCCTTACATTAAAATGAAATCTTTCCATATCTTCCAAACTTTGGCGTAAGTTTTGCCTCTGGGAGGCAATCAGAAACAGTCTATTCCATTTCCCACATGCAAGCCCTTCAAATATTTGAAGATAATTGTATTGGTTCTCTTTTCCACCTCTCTACTCTACCATCATCTCCCATCTCTTGCTTACTGACAAGTTCCTGTAGTGACTTTTTGTAATACATGAACAACATATTTTCAATATGGTTTCTAATTAACGTAAGTTTGCTAGAAGGTTGTAGTGTTGTTAACTTTGTCTGAATTTGTAATAATTTATTTCAATATTATAAGATGTGAAAACATGAGGGATCCAAGTATTTTTCCATTCAGTGTTGTCTATGAATGGAAAAAGTAAATGTGACATTCTTCCTTTTATTTTTTTGTTAAGAATTATTTTCTTAAACAGGTTTTATAGTGATAGTAGTGAATGAAATACGTGTCAAAGTTGTAAAATAACTTTGTATGCTTCATTTTGATTCATTTAACTTGGGGAAAAACATTAGCACAGAGCAATAATTCCTTTTTAAAAAGTAAATGAAAGTTTACTGTAATCTTAGAACCAACTGAAACTTTTAATGGTACTCTATTAAATCTTCAATATACTTCTTACCTTGGTGAAGGTTATTCAGAAAAATATTCAGTAATAAGGTTGTGTTTATTGTACATGGAAAATAACTCCTTTTAAATTCCACATACATGTTAGCAACAGAATTCAAGCAATCATCATAATTCAAAATTCTGTGTGTTGACAAATCTAAAAGTATAGTACTGATTATATTATATATGAATAAAGAAGTTAACCAAATGTATCTATCTTTCTTTCTTAAATTTTTTTTTTTATTTTATCGAGGGAAAAGCACTTATCATGAGATCTACCCTCTTAAAAATTTGTGTAGAATATGTTGTTGTTGACTATAGGTACAATGCTGTACAACAGATTTTTAGAGCTTATTCATCTTGCTTTACTGAAACTTTATGCCTGTTGATTAGTAACTCCCTGTTTCTCCTTTCCCTCACCTTCTGGAAACCAGAATTCCACTCTGACTTTATGAATATGACTATTTTAGATACCTCATATAAGTGAAATCATGCAGTGTTTGTCTTTCTGTGACTGACCTATTTCATTTAGCATAATGTCTTCAATGTTCATCCATGTTGTCACCTACGGCAGAATTTTCTTCCTTTTTAAGGCTGTATAGTATTCCATTGTAGGTATATACCACATTTTCTTTATCCACTCATTTCTTTTTTCTATTGAGGAAACGTTTCTTTATAACATTATATAAATTTCAGGTGTACACCATTGTATTTCAACTTCTGTATAGACTACATTATGTTCATCATCAAAAGTCTAGTTGCCATCTGTCACCATACACTTGTCCCCCTTTCCCCCTTTTGCCCTCCCCCCACCTTGTTTCCCCTCTGGTAACGACCACTCTGTTCTCTATATCTAGTATCCACTCATTTCTTGATGGACACTTAGGCTGTTTCCACATCTTGGTTATTGTGAACTGTGCTGCAATGAACATAGGAGTGCTAATATCTCTTCGAGATCCTGATTTCAATTTTTTTGGATATATTGCCAGAAGTGGGATTGCTGGATCATATGGTAATTCTATTTTTAATTTTTTGAGGAACCTCCAAACTTTTACATAGCAGTGGTACCATTCTGCACTCGCACCAACAATGTGCAAGTGTTCCAATTTCTCCCCATCTTAGCCAACACTTGTTGTCTTTTATTTTTTTGGATAATGGCCATCCTGACAGGTGTGAGGTTTTGATTTGTATTTCCCAGATGGTTTGTGACATTGAGCATTTTGTTTCATATAGTAGAATGATAAGTGACCTGTTGGCCATTTGTATGTCTATTCAAGTCCTTTGTTTGTGC